GAGAATGTCGTCACAAAGCTCATGGAACCATATCTGGACATGGGCAGAACTGTTACAACTGACAACTTCTTCACATCTCTGTCTCTAGCTAATAAACTACTGAAGCGCAACACGACTCTGCTTGGCACCATAAATAAGATACGACGGGAACTTCCACTTCAGGCTAAAGATGTGTCAGGACTGAAGGAATCCTCCACACAAGTGTTTAGAACAGGCCCTGTTATTCTGACAGTGTATGCACCCAAAAAGAAGAAGTCTGTCTGCATTCTGAGCACCATGCACCGAAACGTGGAGATTGGCAAGGATCGCAAGAAAAAACCAAACACGGTCACAGACTACAACTGTATGAAGGTATGTGAATGTACTTAATTTTTTTTATATGTACTATACATGTCAATTGATGCAAAATGTAACACAAGTCTCTATTTTTTTAGTGTGGCGTCGACATCATGGACCAGAAGGTGCGTGCCTACACGGTGCGAACAGGAACACGGCGGTGGCCAGTTGCCGTGTTCTACAACATTCTGGACCTGGCAGCGATGAACGCGCACATTCTCTACAAGGCGTGTACAGGATCCACAGAGAAAAGACGAGTGTTCATGGCCCACCTTGCAGAGGAACTTCGGCGTCGTTTTATGCAAGAAAAACAGATTGAAAAAGAAATGAAAATACAACTCAGACAAGCTTCTGTTCCTCAGCTTGCCGCTGGAAAGAAGACTCAGTGTCAGGTGCTCCGTCACTGTAATAGGAACCACAGCACAGAGAGATGTGTGCAGTGTGACAGGTACACCTGTCGCAAGTGTAGGAAGGAGGGTTCTTGGCTGTGTGACGACTGTTAGTGGCTAGAAATGGTTTTGTACCTTTTGTGTATATGCTTATTTTATATAATAAATGTGTATCTTCCACTTGAATGACACTGACTCCCTCTCTCTTTCACTTTCATACACACACACATATGCTCTTTATCTTTATACCATCTGATACTTGAAATTTACACATTCTGTGTCTAAATTTCTGGCAGCTTGCACTCATGACTCAATAATGCAACTTTTTCCCATGTACCATATGAAGTGTTTATATCAAAAATGTACATGCATGCATGTGTATAAGATTGTCTGCAAAACCTAATATTTATTTGATCATAAATTTACACATATAGTTGTGTAAAGTGTCATCGCACGTAAAACACGGACCAGGGAAACAGGCGGACGAAAGCAGGAATGGGGTTAAATAAAAGGATTTAATCGGAGAACGAAGGGGCATAACAGGGAAAACAACAACACGGAACTAAACGATTATAACTATGCACGACACTACAATGACAGAACTAGGGAAACAAACTCTGACGTGGACTTAAATACATTGAACTAATACAGACAATGGAAAACAGCTGTGAAACACTGGGAATCGACATGAGGTTAACGAGGGGGGCGTGGCACAGGAGGATCAGCGCGATCGGGGTGTGACAGAACCCCCCCCCAAAGGCACACACCGGGCGCGCCCCAGGGGAGTGGAGGGACGGAACCGGGGACACAGGACCTGGAAAACAAAAGCAAAAAAAGTCAACCAGACACAGGGCACAAGACAGACACACAGAACAGACACAAAGACAGGAGCACAGACAACAAACGACAAACCACAGGAAAAGCCAACAAGCACAGGGGCAACAACACAGGAGACACAGGGGGAACACCAACGGGGGGAACAAAGGGGCCAGGGGCGAATGAAGGAGAAACAGGAGGACGAGGAGCAGACACAGGGGACACAAAAGGACCGAAAGGCACAGAGGGACCGGGGACAAACACAGGAGGCACAAAGGCAGGGGGCACAGAGGAGAAGGGCAGGGGGAAACGGGGAGCCGCAGGGAACCCAGGCAGGCGAGGGGCGGAAGCCGCAGGGGCAGCAGGCGACCGCGAGGCCGAAGCCGAAGGCATCCTAGGTGAGCGTGAGGGGGGAGCCGGAGGAAACGCCGCAGGCAGCGAGGAGGAGGGCAGAGGGACGGACGGACGGGGCAAGGAGGGAGAAGAAGGGGACCCAGGCAAAGGGGAGAAGGGAGCAGGAGGGAACCACACAGGGACCGAGGGAACGGGACGAGGGAGAGACGGAGGGGACATGGAGGGAGCAGGAGGGAACGCCAGCGAAGGCGGGCAGGAGGGGGAAGCCGCGGCAGGCGACGACGCAGCCGGGGCCGGCGAAGGCGCTGTCCGACGCCCCGCCGAAGCAGGGGGGCCCGGAGGCGACCGACACGGAGATGGGGGACCCGCAGGCGACCGACGAAGCACCAGAGGCGGAACTGGAGGCGACCCCCGAGCTGAAG